GATAGATTTTCGAGGGATTTTTCTGCCGGAAAAGATCGTCTGTTTAGTAGTCTTAGTTTTATATTATTACTTAATATTTTTCTAGTTCTTTTTTTTTTCCTGGTATTAAAGTCCATAATTAACGTCGCATAATCGTATTTCAATAATTTAACTAACGTCTTGAGGTTTTAACCTATAAGCTTCTAAGTTCACTATAGGTATCTTTTTTTGTGGATTATTGTTATTTTCTTATGTCGTTTTTAGATGTTTCTATCTCCTTGTCCGCTTGACTATTTCTATTTCTATTCGTTATTTGTCTACTTATGTTGTTTGTGTAAGTGCTTATGTCGCCTATTGCTATATGTTTTGGTTTATAGAGTTAGGGGTCGTTTACCAAATGATTACTCGGGTAAGCGCTTACCAAGTCAAATTATCTTACCGGATGAATATGGTAAGGATAAAAAATCTTACTCGGTAAGAACGAGACAAGGACCAAAAGTTTTACCCGGCAAATGAGGACAACGACTCTTATCATATTAAACGTTTACTGAGTAAATTGTTACATACGGTAACGTTTTGGTGGACTAAAGTCTTACATGGTAAGTAAGTGGTAGTATTAAATTTTACCGGATAAGTGTTTGGTAAACAGTCCCTTAGTATATTTTAATTGTTTCATAGTTATTGTTATTTACTATTTATAACGGTCCATCTATTGTTCTTATTAGTTACAATGTGTTTCATGATTTTGTAACTGATCATTAATTAAATTATTCTGGTTAAATTCATTCCGTTACTTCCATTGTGTATGTCATGTTCCGTAAACTTTTAATCAAAATATCTTATTTTTGTATAACAAGAGAGAAGAAGGCAAACGCAATTGAAGTATTTTTATTCACTATTTGACTTTTTCATCTTCCACCATATGATCACATTTAACTGTTAAACCAACTATTCATTGAATTGCAGGTTCATAGGTCTCGTTCTTGTTGATCCTCATTTTTGTTGTTTCTCATAAATTACTGACCGTTAATTACCTAATATCTAATACTTGAATCTTAAGTACCATACAGTTTATAATAAAATCAAGAACGAGATCTCAAACTATAAACGATATGGGATTTTAATTGTGAATTTCACAGTTTCGAAAAATTTTGTTTACCCTAAAATTTTAAAATCATCTATGAAAAACACTGATATTGGATGAGGTAGAAATCCAACTCACACATACACACACACACACACACATATATATAGAGGTTCAAATGAGAACACCTTCATTTTACGAAAATGCGATAACACCCTTATCACATGTGATAATACGCGTGAGGGGACCTCGTGGTATGCGAAAGACGTGTTCTACAATTTAGGTCGCGCCAAAGGTTGTCTGCATCTATGATTTAGTATCACATGTGATGCTCTTGATGGATTATAGTGTCATATCAACAACACCTTTATCACATGTGATAATACATATGAGGGGGCTTAGTGGTGCAAGGGCAACTTGGCCCGCAACCAAGATCGTGCCAAAAATCGCTCATGTCTCTGATTTAGTATCACATGTGTATCATATGTGATGAAATAATAGTATCACAATTGATTGTTTATTGTAAAATGATGTTCTCGCATTCTCGTAAAATAAAGGTGTTATTGTTTGAACCATTCCATATATATATATATATATATATATATATTGTTTTATAGTTTACACAAAAAGTTACTATAAACAATTAATAGCGTGACCCAAATGAGTCAATCTATATATATATATATATATATATATATATATATATATATATGAAAGATAGATGCATCATATTGTAAGAAGTCATTTAGTAGTAATAGATTGACAATGTTATGTATTTAAAAAGATATGTTAGAATTAGATAATACTGATTTCGAAACTATTTTTGACTGCTATTGATTTGAAAAAATTGTTTTTTATATGAATATTATTTCATTTTTTATAGTAAAACCAACTATTGAAAAAAAAAATCCGTACTTCTTGAGGAACCATTTTCTTATAACCACCCAAACATATAAAATGTCAGAAACGAGATTGCATGCATGTCTTTGCGCACAAATTTTGGTCATGGGATTAATTTCCGATTAGAGATCGATCCAAGCTTGACTAATCAGTTTTACCATCTTAAACGAATAACGAACTTCCAAAAGACGACAAAAGTCCTCAATTAATGATGATAGAATCTCTAACCTATATAGCTATCTCACATGGTCTTTGATATATACTAAAAGGATACTCGTGCAATGCAGCGATATATATCTCGATTTTAATGTTCTAATTTATTATTTGTCTCTGTCGATGTTATAATATAATTTTATGTGTTTTTAAGAAAGTAATAATTTTTTTATTTTTGAATAAAATATAAATTTAAAGATATCATAAAAATTTGAAGAAAAAAATATATCAATGTTAATATCAAATCAACTATTTAAAAGTT